TTCCTGTCCACCTGCTTTAACAAAGACTGGAATGTATCAGCTACAGATCGAAGCTGTGAAATCATCAGATGATTTCAAAACCCAATTTTAATTCAGCATTTAATTCATCATTTTCCTCCATTAGTTTTAAACTCTCTTCAGTGTTCTACTGAAAAAGCCACAGCTCACAAACCCTGTTTCGATTAGTTGCAAAAAAGTTGCATACATATTTACTGCACAAGTAAAAAAATTACCTCTTTGAGTCTTAAAAGATTACTCATGAAAAATTATCTCATGAAAAATTATTTCATGTAATTATAGCTCCAACAGAAAGCTTTGCGTCTCAAATACCGGACTCTATAGAGATACCATACTGCTGTGACAAGCAAGACTGGGAAATATTCCACAAGTTTGGTTGAGATAATTTCTTGTCACAAGTAGTCAATAAGCCAAATAAGAAAGATACCCTCCTAGACCCTTTATTTGTGAGTAGAGAAGGACTCATCATGCGAGATGTGATGGTAGGCAGCACTCTTGCCCATAAATAGCTGAGTTTAAATTTTTCAGGATAATGAGAAAAAGGGTCAGCAGCACTGCTATCCTGGTTTTCAAGAGGACATACTTTAAGCTGCTTAGGGAGATAGGTAACAGTATCCCCTGGGAATCTGCTTTTAGGGGCTTATAGGTCCACAAGTGCTGGTCAGTCTGTTAGAACCACCTGTTAAAAGCACAGGAACAGGCAATTCCACTGTGTCCTAAGTCAGTCAATCAGGACAGAAGACCAGCTTGGGAGCAGTGAACCACTCATGATGCTCAAGAGGAAAAAATTGCATGATCTCTGGCAGCAAGGTCAGGCTTCACAGCAAGAGCTGTGGTTTGCATATGCAAGGAGAAGACATAAAAAGCTAAAGCTCAACTAGAGTTGAAACTGGCTAGTGTTATGTCAAACAACAACAAAGGCTTTTTTAAGTATGTCAGTAGCAAGAGGAGGTCCAAGGAAAACAACAAACATGGTGCAAGTGCTGTAAGGCATCTTCTGTGAGGGGTGGCTAAGGACTCTGGGTTTGTCTGCTTTGGAGAGGAGGATGAGGAGTGACCTTATTGCTCTCTACAGCTTCCCGAGAAAGGGAAGTGGAAAGGGAGGTGCTAAGTTCTTCTCCCTGAGATCCAGTGACAGGACACATGAGAATGGTTCTAAGCTGCACCAGAGGAGGTTCACAATTGACATTAGGAATCATTTCTTTACCGAGAGGGTAGCCAAACACTGGAACTGACTTTCTAGAGAGGTGTCCAATGCCCCAGACCTGTGTCTAAGAGGCATTTGGACAAAGCTGTTAATAACATGCTCTAACTTCATGTCAGCCCTGAAGACATCAGGCAGTTGGACTGGATGATTGTTGTAGGTCCCTCCCAACTGATATATTCTCTTTTTTGTTCTGCTCTGTTGTGTTCTGTTTTGTTCCATTCTGTTCTGTTCTGTTTCATTCCATTCTGTTCTGTTCTGATCTGTGTTTATTTTGATGTCAGACCTACCATAGCAAAGTGAGTGGTCCACGCTGAACCTATGAATGCTAATAACAAGTGGCAATGTTAATTTGCACTGACATCAGTATTTTAGATTTTTTTTGACAATGAATTTGAGTTGGTTGACAATTGTCAACTGTAGTCAGCTGACTGACTACAGTTAGTGCAGCCCTCATAACCAAGCCTGTGCTACCTGCGGGCAGTAAGTGTTAACAGCTCTGGTATTGCTAAAATCAGATTTCAGCACTGTCTAATGGTGTCACCTCAGTCTCTGAGGCATGCTAGTGGGGTCATAGCCATAACTGCAATGAAGAAAGGAAGTTGTAGCGAGGTGGGTGTCAGTGTCTTCTCCCAAGTAGCAAGCAATAGGAGAAGAGGAAGTGGCCTCAAGTTCCACCAGGGGAGGTTTCAGTTGGATATTAGGAAGAATTTCTTCACTAAAAGAGTTGTCAAGCATTGGAACAGGCTGCTCAGAGAAGTGGTGGAGTCACCATCCCTGGAAGGATTTAATGGACATGTAGACATGGCATGTAGGGACATGGTTTAGTTGTGGACTTTGCAGTACTGGGTTAATGGTTGGACTTAATGATCTTAAAGATCCTTTCCAACTTAAATGATTCTATTTTTCTAAATAGTTAAGGAAGTTCCCATAAAGTAAACAACTTTCAGGAAAAAAAAAAAAAGGTATTAAACAGCTAAGAGCAGAAAGATCTTTTTTAAAAAAAAATATTAATAACTTGTCTAGAGCATGAGAAAACCAGAAAGAGAATTGGTAAGAGCCAGGCAGTTTTTCCTGTGGCAGGTAGCAATAGCTACTGACAGGCATTCAACATAAAACATGTTCTGCAGATGTTCAGGTGTATCAGTCTACACTGTGAGCTCACTGGGGCTCGTATCTCATACTCTCCAACAGAAGGAACAGCTTCTGGAACCTCTGTCTAGAGATGATTGTGAAATCCAGTGGCTCAACAACAAATACACACATGTGGTTTGTCAATAGACATTTTGGCCTATAGATAGCAGTAGGGGCATTTCATGAATGCAGACAGGATGTGGCAAGCATGAGGTCTGAACCCCAGAATTCTTCATCAAGATTTTCCTTCGTGGCAGCAAGTTAAAGATTCATGAGAATAAATTTGTCTGTTCTGTCGGAAACATGTCATTGACATTCAGGCTACATTTAGATAAAGCACTTCAGGAACAGCCTAGATTTGCAGGAGCACAAAGCTCAGCACATACTATAGGAACAGGGTAAATCCTCAGCTTCAGCAAGTTTTGAGGTTCAACAAGGCAAAGTGCCGGATCCTGCATTTAGGCCACAACAACCCCATGCAATGCTGCAGGCTAGGGGAATTGTGGCTGGAAAACAGCTTGGCAGAGAAGGACCTGGGGCTGTTGATCAACAGCAGCTATACATGAGCTAGCTTGCTCCCAGGCAGCCAAGAAGGCCAATAGCATCCTAGCTTTTAGCAGATATATGTTGGCCACCAACAGGAGTAGTGCATTGATCATTCCTCTGTACTCAGCACTGGTGACCTTAAATCCGGTGTTCAGTTCTGGGCTCCTCACTACAAGAAAGACTTCAAGGTGCTGGAGCAGGTCCAGAGAAGGGCAACAAAGCTGGTGAAGGGTCTGGAGAGCAAGTCTGCTGAGGAGCACTTGAAGGAACTGGGGTTGTTTGACCTGGAGAAAACGAGGCTCAGGGAGGACCTTATCACTCTCTACAACTACCTGCAAGGAGGTTGTAGTGAAGTGGGGTCAATCTCTTCTCCCAAGTAACAAGTGATAGGACAGGAGGTAATGGCCTCAAGCTGCACCAGGGAAAATTTAGATTGGATATTAGGAAAAATCTCTTCAATGAGAGCATAATCAGGTATTGGAACAGGCTGCTCAGGGAAGTGATAGAATCACTAGTTGATTCTATGATTCTGTGATTCTATGATCAGTGTTAGCATCTGAGCTTCAGTCTCACCTTAGAAACTCCTGGACCCAGAATATATTTCTAATGAAATTCAATGAGAACCCCTTTCAGACCACTTCCTAAAGACCTGCATTTCCAGAGAACAGTGTGATATAGGGGAAACCATTACAGAAGCTATGACTAGTCAGACCCTTTCCTGATAGAACCAGCAAAATTATTCCAGACAGAGCAGCTCTATGAAAGAAAAACGACTCTTGTGGTTTAAGTGGTCCTATGCAAGACAGATGAGCAGAGCAGCAAATATTCACACCCTCCCAGTGCCTAATTATTGGAGTTCAGTCTACAGCATCTTCAGTCTGACCTTTCATCAACACAATCTGTTTTCATCAAGGAAAACGTGATGACAGAGCAGAAGCTAATCGCCACTTTTCTGTTTTAGTTTGAAACATGGTCTTACAAATGAGGCCTGACACAGTAACTACACAATTATTTGGTTGAAAACAGTGATAAAGGATTTGCATATCACTCATTAAAACAGTGGGGAAGCATAGTTTAAAGTACAGATATTCATGAAGTCTGCTTTTTGATGTCATCATGTTATCACAGTTGTTTGCACTAAAATAAAAAAAAATATATTTAAACATATGTAACTTTTATTCCTTCCTTTGTGCCTTTATATGACAATTACAAATTTTCTTGACCAGAAACTGTTCCAGGCAGGACTCTTTAGATGACTATTGATAGGCTGCCTAATGGATCCGCCTTATAGAGAAACTGCAAACGTGTAAAACGTGTAATTGCACCCAAAGCAATTTAAGCAAGAGCTGCTCTGCTTCTATTCCATTTACTTATATGACAGAAAAAGCCATTCTAACACCCAGAAGAGCCTGAGACCAAGGTGTAAGTGGGCCATAAAGCTGTTATGCCTCCCTCCCTCCATAAGTTCCCCTGTGGAACCTATGCAAAAGACAAATATATTTCATTTCAGATATCTGCAATAGATTGAATGTTTTTTAGTCTTCTGTCCTACTTCTTTTGAATGGATCTTCCTTTCTGTCTACTTCAGAGCAAAGCCAAGTGGCAAAAAGACTAGGATCCAAAACTAGCACAAATTTGTGCCTGTGTGGGGCTACTACAAATACCCTCCAGTTTTGCACATCCAAATGAGAGTCCTGCATATACATCCCTTTATTTTCTACTGCATCAGTGAAAAACTTTTTTCATCATCTAGCACTTTAAGCTAAAAAGTGCAAGCAAGACTCGCCAAACTTGTTCATAAAATTTAATATTTATTGCTGTTATTGAATATAGCAGACATTACTGAGCAATCCTGAAAATCAGCATGTACACACAAGGAAATAGTTGTAATAAATTTAAGAGGCTTGTTCAAGCCACAAAGCTATGAGAAAACACAGTAGCTCTTTGCAACAGTGTTCACAAAAGAATGACTAAGATGAAGGCAGGTTACTTTTCCCGAGATAAGAAATGCAGGTGCCATTTTAACAGATGAATTGTCCATGTCATCAAAATCCTGGATTAAGAGTCTGATTTTTTCAGCAATACACCTAGTATTTACCTAGGCAAATGGAAAACCGTGCCACCATTTCTCCACTGGATCAGAACCCTCTCATACAAGGAAAGCAGGACATTTAATCAGATTTTGGCCTTGTGGATAAAGAAAGGAGAGGAGGAAATAAAATTACTTCTGGGATCATACGCACTAAGGAACTGATTGCTTTGATTTTTGCACATATTCTAGGCTATTGAGTAAAAACATTTTAAACCACAAAAATAACTAAATAATTATACAGAAAATGTGTGTTATAAATTATTAAAATAGAGCTTCTAACTGACACCATTGTAACAGTAGAAAACAATTTTATTTGTGGACTTGTAAGTTAAGAGTTTATATCTTGTATATCAGGTAATTCTTGTAGTTAAATATTTTTGCATGGACTTGTAAATATTCCAAGACACTTGTGAGCTAACTGCATTGTAATAAATCTAGAAAGAGATACGCACTGATGTTCTATCAGCAATGGTAATTTTCTAATTAAAAATTAATTAGGAGAGTAGAGGCTATCTCTTCTTGTTATGTAATTTTTCTTGTTGGGATTTTCAGTGTAATTTTGAGAATTTTAGCATTACATATTATATCTGGGCCATCCAGATGCTATTATTTTCCAATTATTTTCATGCCAAACTTTTTTAATCAAATTAAAGTTTTCAAAAGATTTAGACTTGCACAACAGGATTACATCTTTCCCTGATATTTTGGTTTGTGGCTATGCACAGAGAAGGGTTGGGGTTTTTAATATTCATGACTTATAAAATTGACAACAAGCTTATTTCATCACATCATCAGTGAAAATCTTTTGCAGTATTAGGTCAGCCGTCTATAAATAAGAATGCTTCCTAGTTTCAGTGTGAAAAAAGGACTTATCTACCACTAAATATGTTCAGCAAGATACTCTTCTTTTGCTTTTTGAAAAAAGTACTTCTTGTTCTTGATTTTCTCTTCTGAGAGAATGCCTCAAGGGGTCAGAGTTTTCACCCTGAGACATCAGACTTAAATGCTAGGATTGCAGAGCCGTGCTCCCCCATATAATTTAAAGTAATTTGAAGCATGTTGTTACATGCTTATGTAATAAAAAAAAAATACTGCATAATAAACCCATTATTCATGTATTTCCCTTGTTTTGAAGTTCCTCATACCCTGTGGTTTCTAATCACAGAATCATAGAAAAGTTAGGGTTGGAAAGGACCTTAAGATCATCTAGTTCCAACCCCCTGCCTTGGGCAGGGACACCTCACACTAAACCATGTCACTTAAGGCTCTGTCCAACCCAGCCTTGAACACTGCCAGGGATGGATAATGGCTCTTTTGTTATTCTTGCATAGTACAAAGTTGTATAACTCAGAGAAAATGAAGAGAGCACTGTGTGATTGTCACATACGGAGTGACTTCACTTATAAGACAGAAAAACTGCTTTTGCTGGACAAAGCAGCTGACATCCATCTACCCGGACTTGTGCTAAGCATTCAACGCTGTCCCGCACAACATCCTTGTCTCTGAACTGGAGAGACATACATTTGATGGATGAACCACTCAGTGGATAAAGAACTGGCTGGATGGCCGCACACAAAGAGTTGTGGTCAATGGCTCAATGTCCAACTGAAGAGGGGTAACAAGTGTTACCTCAGGTGTCCCTCAGGGGTCAGTGTTGGGACTAATCCTGCTCAACATCTTTGTCAGTGACATGGACAGTGGGATTGAGTGCGCCCTCAGCAAGTTTGCCGATGACACCAAGCTGTGTGGTTCGGTTGATACGCTGGAGGGAAGGAATGCCATCCAGAGGGACCTCGACACACTTGTGAGGTGGGCTGATGCCAGCCTCATGAAGTTTAACCATGCCAAGTGCAAGGTCCTACACCTGGGTCGGAGCAATCCCAGGCACAGCTACAGGTTGGGCAGAGAAGAGATTCAGAGCAGCCCTGTGGAGAAGGACTTGGGGGTGTTGGTCGATGAGAAAATGAACATGAGCCAGCTGCAGTGTGCCCTTGCAGCCCAGAAAGCCAACCGTATCCTGGGCTGCATCAAAAGGAGCGTGACCAGCAGGTCAAAGGAGGTGATCCTGCCCCTCTACTCTGCTCTTGTGAGACCTCACCTGCGTATTGTGTGCAGTTCTGGTGTCCTCAACATAAGAAGGACGTGGAACTGTTGGAACAAGTCCAGAGAAGGGCCACGAGGATGATCAGGGGACTGGAGCACCTCCCATATGAAGACAGGCTGAGAAAGTTGGGGCTGTTCAGCCTGGAGGAGGGAAGCTGCGTGGAGACCTCATAGCAGCCTTCCAGTATCTGAAGGAGCCCTGCAGGGATGCTGGGGAGGGACTCTGCATCAGGGCCTGTAGTGACAGGACAAGGGGTAATGAGTTTAAACTTAAACAGGTGAAGGTTAGGGTAGCTATAAGGAGGAAATTCTTTCCTGTTAGGGTGGTGAGGCACTGGAATGGGTTGCCCAGGGAGGTTGTGAATGCTCCATCCCTGGCAGCGTTCAAGACCAGGTTGGACGGAGCCTTAGGTGGCATGGTTTAGTGTGAGGTGTCCCTGCTCATGGCAGGGGGGTTGGAACTTGATGATCTTAAGGTCCTTTCCAACCCAAACCGTTCTGTGATTCTATGATTCTACGATTCTATGATTCTATGATTTAAGGGGAGGGCATACTTTTGTCCTCGCTCTGTAAACTTACTGATTTTTCCATTCAGTACTTCCTAAGCATATACTTCAGATAACTTGGTGTATTACTCCACTGATTCAAGAGTATAGTGAGCATACTGCATAAAGGAAAGCTTGTTTTTATATATACCTTCAGAGCTTATGAGGGCTTTTGATGGTCATGGAGACAACTGGCTCATGTGTTTGTACCTGCATTTGAAGTTGACATACACTGTGATGGGAGTGAAAAAGAAATCTTATTTGTAGTGTGAAAAAGGGGGAACTCTGGTTCTTGAGCCTGGTTAGAACAAACCTTGATCACATTTTATTCAAAAAGACACCCTCTATCAAAACAAAAATTCCCTAGCTATTGCTTCATATTTCTTTCTGACTGTAGGCATGTTCCACTTCTCTGTGACACACTCTTACTTCAGCTTTGGAAACTTCTGTCTCTCTTATTGATCAACTGCATGGTTCTTTAAAGATGTTAACTTGCACTTCTTTGCTGTGCAAGAGTTTGACTACTCTGACTTCCCTGTTCAAAGTCCAAGCACATCTGAAGCACTCACATACCAAAACACAAAATACCTGTGCCACCACTTTCCCTTGAGGATGTGCATGAATGAATGACACTGAAAGATATAAGCTACAATTTGCAGTTCTGTACTCAGTGTTTTGAAGCACATTTTACATTACCCAACAGGGCTCCCTGCCAACAGCATCATCTGGTTTAATGCAGAAATTCAAGTATGAGTTAAGGGGTGGAGGGAACACAAATACAAAGCTAATGTTTCTGAACCCAGGTTTTTAACTCCGAAAGAAAACATGAAGTTTGAGGAAACTATAAAGGACACCAAACCCAGCAAATATCTCCTGTTGCATATCACTTTATAGATGCACTCCCAATTAGAGGAGTGTTCTTCCTGAGACTTCAGCTCTGGAAATGCTCATACACAGAAAAAAAATATTTCCTCACAACAGCCTTACTGTTTTCCCTGAAAATGCTTTAGTTTGCAAAGCTAAATAAGCATGCAGGATTTTCAAAAATATGGATCTTCCTTTTAAAAGCTGTCCTGATTCTTCCTTTCTTTATGGCGCTGTAAATTTCATGCAGTCCCACTGGAGCTGAAATAAAACAAGTGGAAGTGACCAGAATAATAAAACCCACCACAGAAAGAAAATAACCTTTAATAGACAAAAATGACTAATTCAATGAATGCAGTTTCTTCTCAAAATCCTCAACACCATAGATCCTCTGCATAGCACCTCAAGCTGCAAACAGAACACACTTTATTTAACATTAGCATGAGAGATACTGTCCACCCTTCCTGGCTGCTGTGCATCGTCAACAGGAAATGTGTAGTCAAGAAATCTTTTTCTTCTTTCTTAGTAGATCTTATGAGGAATTACATCCACCTTGTGTTAAAATCCTGGCCCCATTGAAAATCTCCAGCAAAGCTACTCCTGACTTTAAGAAACATATGATAGCACCTTACTAGATGAGATTCAAGGTCCATGACAGCCAGCCGCAGGTGCTTGGACAGTACAGGGCAAAGCAATATACAATAGGCCTTTAACTGGCAAATGCCTTTAGTGTTTGGACAAATATGCTCATAATTTTATTCATTTTATATCATCTAGGAATGACTAATCCAGGTCCTCAGGTAAAACTAACCTAACATTCAATCTTGTCAGGAGTTCAGGAGAAGTGCTGTGTTCTTCAGAAATGGGAACATAAATACTGTACCATATTCATTTTGGGAAACAAGAACAAATTTTGTAATTTCAGCAGAAACAGGACTTTCTGATTAATTCATATCAGCGGTGAGGAAGAAAAAAGTAATCTCTACCTAAACATGCTTTATGAGAGAAGTGATTTCCTTCTTCTGCCTTGGACTTTCCCCTGAACCCAGAATCCTAAAGCCAGGAGAAGTCTGCAGAATACCTCTTCAATTCTAAATAATGTTCCATTTGTATCTGATAAAGATTTTAAAGAAGGAAAGCAAATTAACCTGTGCTTCTCTGATCTTTATATAGTTCATTCTATGGCTTCCAGCAACCACTGAAAGTTTTCAAATTCATCTGTTTTCAAATCAGACGCAAGAAAAAGGATGTAAATTTTTTTCTTCTTATCTGAGACTTTAAATAAACATACATGATCTGTCTACTGTTTGAATCATAAACTCTGTTAAGAGTGACCTTCAATGTACCGTATTGAAACTTAAACTGTCTGCAACATATGAAGGTACATGGATTCTTTCACATGCTTTATAACCCCTGCAGCATAGAAACTATCAAGTAATGCAAAAGTTTTCAAAATTTCATGTCAAAGAAAAATGATTGAAATAAAATGCATAATTTAAGAATTTCAGTTGTGCTTTCCTCCATTATTAGAAAGAAATCAAAACTGTAAAAATTCAGGGGCTAGCTCAATTTAACAATGTGACTACTACTGTTAATTTTCATTTCCATGATGACATGTTCTAACCGCAACAGAACATTGCAGTTGAAGGCATACTAAATCACCATACCTTCTACCTTTCTATTTACTCCATTGCTTATTAGCAATGTCAATAATTAGGCTATCAGAATAGGCATGATACAGAGAATGGGAAACATGAGGAGAATGCATATTTGTTAAGGAGCCTGTGGCCAATGTGGAAA